GCGGCGACTTTCTGCCGCAGGAATTTATCGAAGTCAAGCATGATAATCAATATGAATCAATGTTCTTCATTCAACAAGTTAATATCATGTCATTTATTTTAACTGTTTGATACATGATTCGCGATTAAGTTTCATTCCATTTGCATTTATATCAAGTGATACTATTTTATGTATCTTGCTCTTTCCTTACATAGTAAAGACAGTTTCCTATATGTATATATAGGAAACTGTGAAAGTGTGATACTTCGCCGAGAGTGATAACTTTTAGCATTCGCAATGCTTTTAAGCTTATGGACAACAAATAGCCTATACCGCAAAACATCTTGAAAGTATTAGAGTGCAAAGTTGTAGTATACACGTTGCGAAATCTCGTTAGAAATTTGATAAAAGAAAAAGAAAGAGAGAGGAAGAAAAAATATTTTTTTTATTATTAACAAATTGTCATATTATATATATATATTCTTTTATTTAGATGTACACAGTTTACTGATCTAAATTTTTTTTATATTTAACTAATTATTTCCAGAATTATTAAAAAATTGCTATATATTTATTTTTTAAATATTATACAAATAAAAAGAAAAATAGTTTTTGTATATATATATATATATATATATATATATATATTAAATCGAATATTTTTTATCTTGGACGTAAGAATATTAATATTCTGTTTATATTATTATATTTGATGTTTCATTTTTTATTTTCGATTAATATCACACCATCTTAGAAACATATTGAACTATAAACAACAAATTAAATATAAAATCAAAGTAAGTACCTTGAATTACAATGCATTATTAGAAAACGATAAATTATTTTAAGATTATTGTAAAACATTGCTATTTCCAGGACCATCTTAAGCATTAATGCCGCCCTTGTGCCAACAAATTGCCACCTTTTTTTTATTGGATTGAACAAGACAGGAAAAATTTATTTCTATAGAGTCAATAAACAGCAATTTTATAGAACTTTAAGCATTTATTCAAATAGGTAAATAAAATAAATAATGAGAAAATCATAATATATCTATGTATTATATATATATATATATATATATATATATATATATATATATATAATAGGTATATGATTATTACTACATAAAAGCGAGAAAAATAAACATAATTGAACTTATCAATTTAATTATTGAAATCATTATTTTTGATTTTTTTAGTAGCAAATTCTTTAATAATGTCTTTTATATTTAAGCTTTCAAATATTTCATTCTCTATACTTTAAATCAGTGCTGGGATTTACTTGCAATTTTCGGCCAGATTTCTTAGCTTACGACTATTGTTCCCCTCTTACCGCTCGCGCCGTTCCTAATTAAGGAGCGTTCAGGAAGGTGCACGTCACAAATGTAATGTGGCAATCTATCTATCTAAGTTCTCTTTATTGTAATTACGTTTCAAAACACAAATATTTTAGATTGTTACAGAACATATACGTAATTAATGATAGAATAATTATTTTTATTATTAATAAATAATAAATAGAACTTAGATAGATTGCCACATTACATTTGTGACGCGCACGTTCTTGAGCGTACCTTAGTTACGAGCGTTCGGTGGCGCGGTCGCTAAGGCGGAAGCGATAAGAGGGGAACAGTAGGCGTAAGCTAAGAAATGTGGCTGAAAGTGGCAAGTAAATCCTAGCACTTTAAATAGTTAAAGAATTAAGTCTTTCTTGGTACATTGAAAATCTCAGATAACTTTTTATTAGTTTAAGCTTAGAAAAAGATCTTTCTCCTGCAGCACTGTTACAGATAAGGTCAGTAAAATTCTTAAAGATACTGTTAAATTTGGAAATATGGAAATATTATATATATATTAATATTAAAATAATATATATATATTAAATTTGGAAATATTATATATATATTAATTTATTTTTAACATAAATTGCAATACATCGAAAGCATTAAGTTCATCTTCAAAGAAAATTGAAACATTTTCGATTTCCGTTCTATCGCATCACACTCTTTGAGTGAAGGATTACTCACTTTTATTTGTAGTCCATGCAAAATTTGCCGTCCCTTATATCCTGCCGCCCGTGTGCAATGCACACTTCGCACACGCGGTTAAGACGGCCCTGGCTATTTCACATGCTATGCGTATTTCAAGCAGCAAACAATAACTGCCATCCAAACAAAAAATAATTAATAATTTTTTTCTTGTTGCTGATCATATATATTCTCTCTCTTCATCGAATTTTTTCAATGTGACTTGAAACAAATAAAACAAGTAATTTTCTGTCAAATAAATTCAAAGAAAGAAAGCTATATTTCTCAACTTTTTTCGTTTCTACATTTTCTTTTACATTTTCTTTTACATTCTTAACTTACTTCGTATCATTTCGATTTTTCATTGACGCTTATGGTTGACTATACTTATAATTGCGGAAAAACAGAGAGAGAGAGAGAGAGAGAGAGAGAGAGAGAGAGAGAGAGATTTTTTAAATCTTTAAATCTTTAAATTGTTTTTTTATTTTTAATATGAAATATTACCATGTTATATTAAAGCGATTTTGAAAATATGTTTATTAAAAATTGATATTTATTTATAATTAAACTATTACAGATGAAATAATTATTTATTCGATGAAATAATTAGAATTTGTGTATTAAGCGTATAAACGTTCTCATAATTTATGATTGTATTATTAATACAATAATTATTTGTATAATTAATTGCTTATAAAGATCAATGTTTATACACACACACAAAATCATATAACCATATATATATATATATATATATATATATATATATATATGATTTAATATAATTAATACAGGTAATATAATCAATGAACTCACTTAATCAATCATTTTATGTGAAGCAGAAATACTTTTCCTATTTATTTCTTTTGGTCTTCTGGTTATAGCATCCAAATTGTATAGAAAAAGACAAGCATTTTTGTTCTTTTTTTTATTTACTCGGGATATCGATCGGAATGTCACTCGATTTTGTGAGCATGGGAGTGTGTAAAGCTATAGCGGGGCATTTTCCATAACACGCTTCGTTTGCTGTAAAACTGATTTTCAGGCTCTCCAGGCCGATAACCCATCGGATAGACGATATTCGAGGAAGAACGAATAGATAGTTTACGGCAAGAATGACGGGGGCGAGATGATCAACGTCTCGATCAATGTCTCTAACGATTGCCAGATATGCGTCATCAGAAATTTTTGGAACATGCAGAATTTAGATTTTTTTGCAATTGAGATAGTGATATATTTTTTATATAAATATAAGTATATAATTATACTAATTTAATACTATTTTTTTAATTATTAAAAGTATAATATTGTTCTTGAATTTCTAAAAATAGTTTTTTGCGTATTGTTTCTATTCTAGATATATTTAGAACAAGATTGTGTTTTAAGAGTATAAATAAGAGCAAAAATTATATTTTAAATCAAAGACGTAAAAATTTATCAGAAAATTTATGCTAATTATATGTATAAGCTAAAATATATCATTTTCAATATTTATAGATGTTATAGTTTAAATTATATATATTTAAAAAGATATATTTAAAAAGATTATATTCTTAGATATACACATTGTACTTTAAATTATATTTTAAGCTATATACATCATGAGTTAATAAACAATAATAATGTAATAATAATGATTTGATTATAATAATAATGATTGACTCTGTCTAAAATTTGAGATAAAGAACTGTCTACACAATTTATTCTAAAAATTTATGCCAAACAATATAAGTCTAAGAGACTCTTACAGGATGCCTTTACACATTTTGGCTGGATGAACATAACATTTTAAAAGCAACAGAGCTGCAAACAAGCACTCAACTATACGATGAAATAACATTAAACGAAAATATCAAAAGATGATGTTGAAAGTTAATTGCATCTTGAAATCTTCTTCCGAATCAATTCCAACGCGGAAATATCGGATTTAAGTATGTGCAAAACGATTTGGCAACCATCGTTGATCGCACACGTCGAACATCTAAACTTTTATTAATAGACTCCACCTCACCTATTTGATAGTCAAATCAGTGCACCTGCATTGCGTTTGTCGTACCAGCTATTCGCACAGTGAAATCCGTTGGTTATCACAACGAGAGAATATACAGCTAAATGAGAACACATTCCTATTTTCCTCTGTGAAATAACTTTTTGCAAAAGCTCGCACGAATATATCGCAGCAATTGAGTCGAGCGGTTGCGTGATATTTTTATCAAAAGCACACATGGAAAATAGAGGTCCTACAGAAAGAGCGACCCACACCTTGTTTCTGTCAGTTGACATTACCTTGCAATAATCAATGATGTGCTGCAATTGGCACATATTCCTCTATCCAGATTATATATCGTATAAATAATATATATTTAATATATATTATTAAATATATATATTTAAACTGTGCACAAATTAAAATAATGCGTATATTAAAATAATACATTTTTTAAAAACCGGATCACGCAGAAAATTATGCTAATAAATAAAACAAGTGGACATAAATGGTTTTCATGGGCTGTAAACTATGATTTAAAAAATTTTTTAAATATTTATTTCAATAAAAAGCATGAAGCATGATGAATTATTATTATTGTGCAACTATAAAAAAGGAGAATCTAAATTAAAAATAAAATTGTTCCGAAAAGTAAAAATTTAGAAATTATAATATTCTCTATTAATCATGTTATTATTGTACATATTTTTATTTTTGATAATTATATCGTATGTGGATTTTCACATGTTACGTGATCTCACGAACTTTCACCAAACTATACCACAGCCGCCATCGTACTGTTAAAAATAGTCGATGACGCTTGAAAAGAGAGAGAGGAACATATACAAAGAGAGAGAGAGAGAGAGAGAGAGAGAGAGAGAGAGAGAGAGAGAGAGAGAGAGAGAAAGAGAGAGAGAGGGAGGGAGGGAGGGAAGGAGGAAGGGAGGGAGAGAGAGATATATATATATGGTGCCATTTTCATTTTATCTAACGTTCGACTGACATTCGTATGTGAACGAATGCCTCCGGATTTGGCGAAGGTAAAACGGAAATCGGATTGTCCTCACGAGTCTTCCGCTGCTATCCAATTTTCTTTCTTTCTCTCTCTCTCTCTCTCTCTCTCTCTCTCTCTTTCTCTCTTTCTCTAGCGTAATCGATTCTCCCGTTTTCATTCATTCATATGTACAAGTATGCGGGCACAAGTAGCGCACACGTCGGGCTAAACTTCGCGCTAACAAAGGTGCAGTGACAAAAGGAAGATGCGAACAGACGAACGGACGGGATATCGGTGTTCTGAGTCACTGAACAGGACGTGTGTTGTTCTCCCCACAGTTGACAGCCGCACGTTGACATTGGCGTACTTGTACACGTGCATGTGCACGTGTGTATATCAGGAATGGACTTTATATATATCTACGTTATGTGTCTATAACGGGTGCCTATAAATTTTTCGACAGAAATAATTTCTTGTGAGAATCGATTCACGTAATATATAGTAAAAAATTTGTTTTAAATTTAAGATATAAAAATAAAATATATTAATTATTATCTTTTTATGAAATTTGTAATAAAACAGTTAAAAGGTTATGAATATCTTGATGTCATAAAACAGTTAAAACATGCGAAAAATAATATTGTTGGAAACACACATATATCTCTACAGAAAAAATAAATTTTACTTTTAACAGATGTTAGAAATATATATATTATTATTTCAATAAAGTAAATATATGATTAATGTTATTTATTTACATTATAATCTTTTTTTTAAATATTCTAATTAATAAATCATTTGTGTTGAAAAATTTCTATAATAATTTGCTTTAATTTACATGAAATTATACAGAGATAAATAATTTATTTTGGAATTTCATTAAATGGAAAATACAAAATAAATTGAATCAAATTAATGTAAAGATTAATTTAATGTAAAAATAATGATCAGCATTTTTAATAAAATATAATTAATTGTATGTGTAATTGCATGAAATGTGAATTGAATCATCTTACACAAATGATATAAAATTGATGTAGGTATCATTTTATAGATGATCTAAAATGGATTCATGAATCATCTGTAAGGTCTATGAACTTCTAAATGCTTGAAATATCTCCAAATGTTAGCTTGGTAATTTTTCTATCGTGAATTCTTATTTGCAAGTTCCTTTATTTACAATTTTTTATAAAAAATTAACAGTTACAAAATTTAATAAAGATAAAATTTATAATAAAAATAAAAATAAAAGTGAACAATAATGACAATAAAAATAAAAGTGAACAATAATAAAACACTCTTATATTTATTCTGTATATGTACCAGTTTTTAATAATTCTTTATAATTTTTTTATATTATGATCTTTTCTAATTATCCAATATTCTAAATTTTTCTAAATGTTTTTAAAATTTAACTTACAATTAAAATAATAAGTCTCTACACATATATATATATATATATATATATATATATATATATATATATACATATTCATGTTTAATTCATAGAAAACGCTCGCATTCTGTATGCATACAGGTGTACAACTTTTGCACTGTTAGCTTACAACTAGTTCGAGTTGACGTTCAATTACTAATGCAGAGCAAATGCATTAGTACGGGATGCCAGTGGCATTTTCTATAGCCGAAGTTTACTTTCATGATGTCTAAGGATTATTTACAAGTTTGGCTACTGATTCAATTTTCGGGTTGTATTACATTTACATTACATCGACGATGGCATAGCGATGATCGCGTGAATATATTATTTGGTAGTATCATCTATTTCGATGCAAATAGCCTGCTTATAAATAAACAGTTTATCTTTGTATTTGAAATGTTGTCCACGCTGTTTATTTTAAATGCAATTAAATATTATAATATATGAATTATTAAAATATATGAGTTGATAATTGTCCAGAAACTAAGAAAAATTTTACAAAATTATGAAAATATTTATCAATAAATATTTTCTTTGATTTAATAATACAAACGGTTTGTAGATAATTAGAGAATAATAAGTTTATTTTTTTTTAATGTTAATGAAATTTATTTCTTTACTGCTTATAATGTATGCAAAAGACATATTCTTAGAATTTAAGTAAAATTATGTGTAACGTGTTATGTTTCTTTTTGAAAGCTTCAAATAATCTATTTCATTTTTTATGAGAATCGCTTCATTAATTAAGAGAAGAACTAAGAGAGAAATTCTGCTGAGAATTCTAGCTATTCCATCTCGTCTCTGTTAATATCAAGCATTTATTAAAATGCCCACGTAAAGTACGGCATTAGCGATATTACCCGAAGTCGGTGCGCTAGAAAGGATGCAACGACCAGCATATATGATGTGTTAAATATACCAGTAATAATAAATATATATGGTGATAGACATATATTTGATTGATATATAAATAAATATGAATACTAAAACAAATGCAGATTATGAAATATGAACCGAGAACTCTATGCATAAAATATAAATCAATATCGGGTCAAATTGATATTTTCGTAGAAAGATATTGATAATTCGCAATGATTGATAATATCGACAATGGGATATTTATTTTATTATCATTTATCAAGATCACTTGTCAAGATTGTGGCGGTGGTGGTAATGGCAGTAGCGATCAAATATTTGATAATATTTAATACTTACTATTATATTGCAATAATAGTAAGTATTAAACTTCTTCTTTTCCTATATATTTCCTATATACATAAATATATTTACGTTTAATTACATATTTCATATACCTATTTATGCATACATACATACATACATACATACATATATATATATATATATATACATTTTTTTTTTTTTTTTTTTTTCGGATTGTATTATACAGTAGAAGGAATTAAATAGTACGCGTCTTATTTTAGTAATAAAAGAATTATGACACTTGATTATATTAATTAATTTTATATTTTTATATTACATAATTATACGCTGAAAAGAAATCTGGTTGCATTAATTAGAAATTTGATAGATTCAATCAGTATGTCTGTTGGAAAATAGACAAATCAAAATTTTTTATCAAATGAGTATGATTAATTTTTTTCTGTCAAATTTACTAAATTTTCTTGATAATAATACTAAATTTACAAAAAATGGCATCACTGTGTCCATATTTAGTTAACAAGAAGTTTTATAGATCCGACTAGAAAATACTAATCAAATTCTTATAGTAAAGTCTATTAAACGTTCTAGTTATAAAAAATCGAGTTTTATTATGATAACTAGAATTTCTGCTTGATTTAACCAAAATGCTTCCTATCAAATTGATACAATCAGATTGATACAATCAAACGATTTTTCTTAGTGTAATTTTTATATAAATATCTTTAATAATTTATTATAAGATAATTATTTTTTAATTCGGACTATCCTTTATATTTTTATATTTATATAAGTTTATATCACAATTGTATTAATATCAATACGATGTTTTGATGATTTCTTTATGCTCGGCAGGTGTTGTCAATAGAGGAGATTCCTTCCGGAGAAGAAGATCGAGATCGAATTCTCTGGCGCCTGCTGAGCAAGAAAACGAAGTACGGCGATTACCACCCAAGGAAGTTGCTTCGCACAATGTCGCTATGTTGGGCACAAGAGGAGTTGGAAAAACTGCTCTTATCAGTCAATTTATGACTAGTGAATGTATAAATGCCTATGATAGGCAAAGAGGTGAGTTCTATAATCATGATGTTATCTACATAACGGCAACGAATGAGTGAAGAAAATACGACTATAAGAATTAGGAAAAAGTCGCTTTTCTTATATTTATTTATGTTAATTGGCATATTCTCAAAATTAATGACTATTATATTTAATACTTTGATAAAATAAAAGAGTTATTAATCATGAATTTAATCATTTTCATGAAATATATTTCTCATAATCACAAATAAATAATAAAATTTTATTTTTTACTTAATATTAATTTTATTTCAAATATTCTGAAAATATTAATCATTAACATATTTAAAATGTTAATATTATATAAACAATTAACATAAAAACAAGTTATAGTATCTTTTTTTGTGATATTTTTGTTAGAGAAAAATGCTCCCCTAAATTTTCTCTAGAAATTACAAGAGTAAAAGAAAGTTATCTAATCTGTAGTATGTGTTCAATTCAATAGAGTTCCAATTATAATCAAACTTGTGAAGGAGTTACAATTGATCTTGTTAGATAAGTTAAGAAACATAATAGGATCTGTAAATATATATAATCCTATTCGAAAGCAATACAAAATTAAATCTCTCAACAAAATGTTTTATTACAATTTTAAGTAAACGGAGATATATTCGTATGGAGGAAATCGCTGAATATTTCCCGATTTCTCAATTTCGTGGCAAATAATCTTTATAGCGGTTTTCAACGGTTTACGATTTGAACTCAAGTTTACGTGACGGTCTCCTGTGTGTATTTCGATTGCACTGGTGAAAGACGGCGCCAGAACTACGCCAAGAAAAGCATAGTTTCCAGTTCCTTAAATGCTTTGAGATTCGCACTATTTTCGCTGAATAAATCGAAAGTTGGTTAATGTTTAAATCGCAAATCGCAATACTTTGAAACAAAACCATTCAACATTATTCTATAATTTAAATTTCTATAATTTTTGGAAAAAAAGAACGAATATTTTTTGTTTGATCATATAAGTCTATTTTCCCTACATTTCCAAGTTATAAAATAATATTGATTATTTTTATTTCAAGACTGTAAAACTACAGAAATAGCATATATTAAATAAAAAGAAGAATAAGGAAAATAAAATATATTATAAAATATAATATGTGACAGAAAAAATAAAAAGAAATAATAAAAAAAAATATTCTCTTTTATTATCAAATTAAACACTTAATATTTATTATTCGAAACTTTAACTGCAGCAAATAAAATAAATATTGAGATAGATTATAAATATAAAATATAATATATATTTAAATCTTTCTTAATATATATTATAAATTATATTCTTAACATATATTTAAATTTTTTTTAACATATGTATATAAATAGCAATAAATAGTGATATAATTTACATTGTAAATTATTAAAAGCATTTTTAAAATACATATTTTAAATTTAATAGACGTTACCAAGTTGCGCTATATAAAAATTTTACAAGCGATTTTTTTAGTAGCGCTTTATTACACTTCATCGCTTTTCTGTTTTTATGATCTCTTTAATTTTAGATATCTTTGTATAAAGTATAATGCATGTTTCAATCATACAGTAAAATTCTGTTAAATTCTAAACACTGTTTTTAAACAGTGCTAAATTATTATTTATTTAGAATAAAATAAAAAAATTAATTTTATAATCTATATACTTCAAAATCTTGCATTATTAATTTTTGAAAAATTTTGCATTAATTGTCAATTTTATATAAATTTAATATTTTAAGAATTAAAGAATTTGCAATAGCGTATTATATTTTATATATATAGGGGATAGAGAGACAGAATAATGTAGACACCTGAAAAATATATCATATTTGTTTATTAATAAAATGTTAGATATATATTAATAAGATGTTAAGCCATCATTTGTTTTTAATACAGTTTTAATTCTCTTTGGAATAGAATCAATTTACAATTTTCAATTACAATTATCAATAGATAATTTTTTAATAGTTTCCAGTGGAATATTGTCCCATATTTTTATCAAAATATCTGCCAATTACTTCAGAGATGTTGGAGGAGGAAATCTGCTTCTCACTCTCTTTTCCAAAACTGCCCATAGTGATTCGATGATATTTAAATCGGGTAATCGTGCTGACTGGAGAAGTTGTTGAAGTTCATTTTGATACTGCTTTTAAATCAAGATTGAACTTTTCTAGTTATGTATATGGGTAAGTATTATCTTGAAAAATGGCGTTGATAGAAAAATGCAATATTCCACTAGAAACTATTCAAAAATTGGTTCTATTCTAAGAGAATTGAAACTACATTAAAACCAAATGGCCCAACATCTTATTAATAAACAAATATAGTATTTATTTTTCAGGTGTTCACATTATTTTGTCTACTTTCTGTACAAACGTGAGAGTTCAATGTAAAACATTTTAAAGTTATCTTGCAGTAAATTAGCCTAAAATTTATTAAATTATTACTTATTATACACAGAATTAACATGACTAAAAGACAATTCAATATCTTTATTATCTTTTAAAACAAGTAAATTGATGTAATTTTTCGAATCATGCTCTAAAATCATACAAATTCCGTTTTATAAAAATGCTCGCTATTATATATCCTTTCATATATATATATATATATATATATATATATATATATATATATACATTCTTGATTTAATTAAAATCGTAATTTTATAACGTAAGACATTGTGTTATCGAAATCACTTTTTTCTTATACTTATTCTTTTCGTGAAAAATATCATTTTCTTATAAAATATGAGTTATTATTCGTCGTGTTAATTATAATTAATGATGCAATTTTTTGACCGTAGTTTTTTCTCGCAGTTTTTTCCTTTTTGTTGAAAAATTTCCTCACAACTCTTTCATTGACGCTTAAGATAAGCGAGACGGCCGAGGCTTTGTTCCAGTTAAACACATTCAATACGCGTTTGGCGACATCATCCGGCGCTATTACAGCGATCGATATTTGCGCGAGCTATTAAACAATGAAGTATCTTTGTATGGTAGAAAAAATCTGCGCGCTCTCTCTCTCTTTTTTTCTGATTTCTTTTGTTTCTCGTATTTTTTAAAATATACATTTTAATATAAATAAAGGGATTTTTCTATTTATATCCAATGTAAATACTGTTTTTAAATTAGCTGTACTTATCATTAATTATAACCGTATACTGGAATGCATTCTATTAGCATTTTTTAGTTGATTGCGCGCCACATTCATAATTAAATTAATAATCGTAATTAAGTAATTTAATTACAATATTTATCTTTAATCTAATTCAATGTACAATATACAATATTCAATATACAATACAATATACAATATACAATATACAATATTCAATATATAATATTCATCTTTATTCTATTTCTAATTCAATTCATCTTCATGTAGTATTGTGCATATATTGAATTTTACTGCTCGCATATCAAAATTTATTTTTATATATTAACCTTAATCATTGTTCTTTTAATAATGCATTTTTAATATAAATTATCTAATAAGAATGATTTTAAAATAAGATTATGTATTATACGTGTATTTTGCGCGCGACATGTATTCGGACTTTTTATATATCTCAAAGTGAATTCGTTATTACATTTTAATTACTGAAATTATAATTGTGTTTAGTGCGATAAACATGTATAGGGAGGTGTATGTATACGGATTATGTTCGCATTATAACGCAGCTACATAATGGCCTCATAATAATTCGATAAGCCTATCAGATACGCACAGAATATCAGTGATATGTATGTAACATTCTATGTAATTAATCTCACAAACCTTGTTACAAACTATAAGATGCGTTATTATTCATTATAACATACCAATTTTTGTAATTAGTATTTAATAGAAAGAATTTTTATATAAAAGCGCATGTTACTTTCAATTATATCTACATTAATAATATAATGTTAATAACTAATAAATAGTTTATAATATTAATCACATATAAGCATTTGTGTGTTTCTCAGATTAATTTGCATTAATTTGATTTAATTAATTTATGTGTAATAATATTGCTATTATATATTTTAGAAAACACTGTGTTAATTGTTTGTGAATTAATTATAATAAACATCTCTTATTATTATATTACCAAAAATATAACAATTTATAAATTATAAACTTATTATTGTCATTATACAAATAAAAAATAACTAATAAGAAATGAAATAAAAAATAAATATTGAAAGTTTATAAATACCACGTATTTATTTTCATGAACGTAATTAGAATTTGCGTAAAATGGAGCAATTTGCAAAAAAGTTAGAGCAAAATCAAGCGGAAAGTTCCTTAGTTCCATTAATTATGTAAAAATGTTTGAGACAAATGTAAAAAATTCTTCAACTACCAAAAGGTCAATTGAATTATTGTACGAGATGATTAATAGTACCTATAATCGCGTTCAGAATATTTAATAATAAAGTCGAAGAGAGAGGATATTGGTATTCATACTGTGGTATTTGATGGAATTTTAATTTAACAAACTTTAACAAGGAAAAATAATTTTAATTGAAAATTAATATTATATTGTAACATTATTGAAACGTTAAAATTATTTTAGAAACTTTTTTAAAATAGGACTTAACTGTTCAGAAAAAATCACAAATCTTTGAATCATTATTAATAAATTTTTAAACGCGATTTTATAGTATATATTTATAATTCAAATAATTAAAGTACTTAATAAAAATTGTGCTTTTGACTACGTTTTTTATTAATTTACATGCCTGCGCTTACATGTGATACGCTTACATGTGATTTATACGTATATATTGTGTAAAAATTTTTATTTATGCTTTTATTTATTGGAAATATAAAAATTGACAAGACATATTAAATTTATGACTTACAGAAAACAAAATTTTGCAGTTAGTGTAGAAAATATATTTGAATTATATAAAAAACATTCCAATGCCATTATGTGATTACATTGTTTATGATAAACGAGAAGAGCAAACTTTATAAAACTTTGCAAAAGTAAAGTTCTTTTTTTCTAAGTTTTTACTAAAC